AGAGGGGAAAAGGCAGAACGGAATTTCAAATTCTTATGGATTCCAGACTTCCTGGAGCCATTAAGGCTGGATAAACCCCTGAAATTACTGCCCAGAGATCATCTTTAAACCTTAAACCAAAAATATTCCCTGAAGTCTTCTTAAAATCAAATAATAGTTTAGCTTAACTAGTGAAACATGTCTGCCTTGAGCATTGTGCTCTTTTAAGAACTATCTGTTTGGGATACAACTGGTAATAGTAACTGGAAATATTGGATAGGAACCTCAGGGGGCAGTGAGTTTACGTTAATGGGGCTGCAACAAGTCAGAAAATGAGGGAGAGAATGGTTGCACAATTCAAAGAATGGAATCAGTGTCAATAAATGATACATAAAGAAGCTGTTGAATTGTTGGATGCTTTGCTGTGTGTATTATCAACAAAATAAAACATTTTAAAAATGGTAGTTAAAATGTTAAAAAAAAAAAGAGAGAGAGAAGTTGATTAGCTCCACCTTCACACCTGTTATTCACTTTGTATGTCTGTGAGGAGAGTTTTTCTTCTCCCAGCCAAGCTGATCCCTCCATTTGTACTTTTGATCTCATCACTTTCTCTGTCGTTTTGTATTATCCAATCATCTTATACTTGCCTGTGCTTTCACTGCCTCCATATGGACTCTTCCATGTCCTCCCTATTCTAAAAAACTTTTAAACATTCTTCAGACTATTATTCTTTCCTTTGTTCCCCAGATTTCTTCTTTTTTTAATCTAAGGTGGAATTTTCTATAAAAAGTGTAGCAACTCGATACACAGACACACACACAAAGACTGTAGGTAAAACTTCCCCAGATTGCTTGTAAAACTGTATCTATGGCTTCGACATCTCATCAGTCTCTGCACTACTTGCAAACTGACCATTGCAGTGAACCTGTTATTTCAATGACCATTTCCTAGTCATCTTCCTCTTGGTAAACTGCTCATTAAGGCAGTCAATTCAGATGAGACTCAGTTCTCCCTCAGCTATGACACTGCACCTACAGGCTCATTCTGGCCTCTCCTCCCATCTCAGTCATACTAGTGCTGGGACCAGTTAGAAGAAAGACTGCCAGTAGGAACCAACAGGGGATGGCCATAGAGATAATAAGAAAGTATTTAAAAAAGCCCAAAACCCTCTGCCATCGAATCAACTCTCACTCATGACAACCCCCATTGGGTGTCCAAGGCTGTCAATCTTAATGGAAATAGGTTGTCTCATCTTCCTCCCATGGAACAGCTGGTGGGTTTGAACCACTGACCTGGTTAGCAGCCAAATGCCTTACCTACTTTGCCACCAGAGCTCCTGAAGGGGATGTAAGTGATAGAAATTAACAACTAATTGGAAGAAGTATGGTAAGGAGGGAGAGATAAGAAAACAAAAATTTTAGAATGACACGTGTAGAGATTTCCAGTTGTGATGTGAAGGTGACTATGGCTGGGTAACTATGATAGGTAAACAGAGCCAGGGACTTCGAGAGAGAAGTATGATCATGATTTTACTCAGAGCTATTTTGCAATTGAGGATACCCGTATCTAAATAAAGGTAATATATTATGACTTTAGTGCCTCGGAGGAAAATTTGGGCTAAAGAGAAAAATTACAGAAGGCTTGTGCCAGAATAAGAACATAAACATGGAACCTGAAAGGGAATTGCTCACCGTTTAAAAGTTCTAACACATCAATTTCTTCTACCTAAACATTCAGGTAATTGTTTAGTTTTGCACGCCATGCCTCTCTCATCATACTTCTTATATCTCTTGTATGGTGTTTTCTAATTTTATCATGGACTTTATTCCACAACCAGATTTAAAACTTCTTGAATCCCCTATGCATCTTCGTATGATGTGAAGCACACTGTCATTCACTGACATTTTCTACAAGTATCTATTATTGCCAGATAATATATCTGCTTACCTTCAAATTATGTAGCTTTTCCAATGGACAGGGTAGCTAACAAACATATCTATATTGGAAAAGGTGTTCCAAGATGATCTAGGTCAAAGACTAGAACCTCCAGGCAGGCTTTTAAGAATAACAAATTCAAATAATTTAAAACAAAAGACAACCGCAAATGTAAAAAAGTACCTTTTAATTTTCAACCAAAAGAATAAGTTGATATAATAAACAGTTTGTTTACTGGTATATTCATAATAATGTCTCGCTATATATCTTAAGCAACATGACTATTTAATGAAAGTTAAAATAGTAGGGCAGTTGAAATTTGTGTCAAATTTAAAATGAGAATTAAAGTTCTTTAAAATGCTTTTATAAAATTATAAATGGACAACAATCCCCCAAATTGGAATTCAGATAACTTAATTTTTATATAGTTTTGAAATTAAAGCACAAGTGCTTATACAACAATTAACAAGGACATGCTTCCAAGTCAGATATCATATTGCAAACTAAAAAATAAACAGAAGCAATATAAACAGTTATAAAACATCAACATTATAAATGTTGCTTAGAACAAGGCTAGTCAAACTATGGTGTATGAGCTATTTGTGACCAGTCCAAAATGAAAAAAGCAGCTCATGCCAGCATGAAAATCAATTATGTCACCAATCATACTGGCTCAGCTGACTTTTTTCATCACAAGACTTTCTTGATAAAGGAAGCAATGTGTTGATTTTTATTCTGGCACAAGTGCCTTATCTTGTTACAGCCTGGAGAACAAATATTGCTTACTTTTTTAAAGTGTCATTACTATTTTACTGTTTAGAATTAGGTTTAACTTTATAGTAGGGAAAAAATTAAAATGACAATTGTAATTGTTATCTATGCATCACCTATTTTTAATCCTATCTATCTAGGGACTCAATCCAAAAAGTATATTAAACTTTATAAAATTCTCACAGTAATCTTCAGATGAGTTTAAGTGTTAGTGACATCTGTCCACCTAAGAGGGGCTCTCTAGTGACATTTTTTTTTAATCTTGAGAAAAAAATTAAAATTTTTTAATTCTCTTTCAAGATTGGTTGAATTTATTTTCACATTTCAACTTTTCATGAAAAGACTAGGCTTGTATGACATTTGTGCAAGCACTATTTTTTTTTACTATAAAAGGATATGGATATTTAGAATGTACATTCTATTAACCAAGGGGAAGCATGTGAAATGTTTTTAGATTCTCCAGAAAAAAGAAAGATGGTATAAAATATTTTTTAAGAAATAGCTTACAATTCAAAATTTAACCAATTCATGATTCTTTGCCTTTTTGGTATGGCATAATATCTCTAGAAATTTAAATATATAGTATAGTCTTTTGGAAAAGTAATCTTTTTCTCATTCTCCAATGGCTAAGCCTTTACCAGCACCATCTTAATACAAATAAATGGGAAATTGACAATTTAGAAACTCATCAGTTTAAAATACAAGTGCCCTAAATTGCTTCTGCAATGGCTAGTTTATTGGACCAAAAAACTGCTTCTTAAAGAATTTAAGTGTATATTTACATGTCATAAAAAGAGAGCGCTTTGGCACCTGAGTTGAGCACAATATACTAGAGCAAAGAATCTCTAGAGAAGGTTGTCTAGAGACTGTATTTAATCCATCTATACATATATACATACACTTATACATATACATATACACATATGCACACACATACAAGTGGAAGAAACTTGCTGACGATATAAAGGAATTTGTCATTTAGCCAAATAAATTAACCCGATGCTTAATAAGATTGTTTTTTTTTTTTTCCTCTCCAGGTTAAAGAATTCAAAGCTTTACCAAAATTTCAAGCAGTTAAATATTTTAAAACAATGTATGAAGCAAAGGGGAACACTCAGGTATTTTTTGTCAAATACTATTTCTTTTGAAATAGTAGCATGGTCATGAGGTCACAATTATCTTAATATGATAAGACAACAGACTATGTGATAGTAAGGAGCTCTAGTAGCATAGTGCCTAAGGCACTTGACTGCTAACCAGAAAGCTGACGGTTCATACCCATCAGCCACTCCTCGGAAGGAAGGTTGGGCAATCTACTTTCGTAGTGATACCACATCGAAACCCAAGGAGGGGTCGCTAGGAGTCGGGTCGCAAAGGAGACGGCACATAACAACAACAACAACAACGTGATAGTCACCAGGTAGAAATTCATCAAAGATTCCTCAAGGAGTAAATTTCCCTCCATCAGGACTGAGCCATTAGCCAACTGATAAAATGTTCTGTTCTTTTGCATTGGTCTCAAAAGACCATAGTTACAGGCTACTCTAGAGATGGCCTCATGCTAATCCTCATCACTCACTAGAAATTTTACACAAGGATTCTAGAATAGCTTGATGTCCTATTTTATGATCACATCAACCTTGCTACTGCTGACTTAAGCAGTGTTAACAGCCCTACTGGTGCCATGATATTTTTTATGCATACATTTAGAACTCTGAATGACTGATTTATATCCTAAAACTTAGAAGACATCAAAAATTCTGTAAGCTGCCTAAGTCTGTCAACATGTTCTTTTAATAGTACTGCCAATATTAATAATAGTAATATTTAATATTCAATTAATAAATATACTTGGCTGACTAGAACTAGCACATTCAGTTTTACCCACATATCTTCTCACCTCTAGAAATAAACTATAGAAAATGGAAAACTTTTATACTTACATACTATCTTTTCTCCATCTTCTAAAAAATGAAACATACTAACCTTTTCTGTACTTTAACCTGGTCAGATTTGTAACACTTTCTTTGGTTACAGGTCCCCTCTCATGTAGCAGCCTTAGAAATTTAATGCAGTTTCAAAATATTGGAGATTAAATGAAATTTTTCAATTCTAAGCTGTCTGTAGAGCATCTAGAATATAGTATATATTCTGACTTAAACTTGACACTGTTTTCCTAAATGAATTCTGTCAATAGAAGCACAGAACTCACCTTAGGGATGGGAAAGAAAAAAAATAAAACTATTACATTAAAATGTCTTCATTTTTTTTCACTTTATATCAGCCATAATATAACCTAAACCACTCTTTTTTTCTGATATGTAAACCATTTTGATAAATTCATTTGAACTTAAATTCTATCATTAATATGTAAACTCACGTGTACACTTTTATTTTTTATACATTTAATTAAATATTTTCTTCTCTGCAGAGTTGATATTTCAGGATAGGAAATGAAATTATGCTTGAAACTAATAATCTAGCATAAAAGCACTTCCCTAAATTCTTCTATGCAAAAATGCATTTACAATACAAACATGCCACCATAATCACACACTGGAGTGGATTTAAAATCCCAAATTCAGTCTAAATGAGTCAAAGAGAAAAGTGCTAACAGAGCAAATCTGAAACAAGTTCATGGGGATTGGGCAGTGAGTCATCAAATCGAAATCTTTTGGAAACCATGCTGCTGTCCTCTGGGATATTCTCTTTGTCCTCTCGATCACCACAGGTTCCATTACAAATGGGTTTAGAAGTCTTGTCTTCAGAGGACCTTAATGTATGATCCTGAATTTGAGAGGAACTGGAAGTTTCTTCAGGATGAAACAGGTTTCCAAAGTCCCATTGCTGTAGCCAAGAATGAGAAAGACAGATTTCTGCTGTCGCTCTTTTCCTTTGAGGGAAAAAAAACACCAAGGGAAAATTAAAACTAACAATCAATTTGAAAATATTTGCAGTTTGACAGAATATATATATTTTTTTCTTTTATTATGAAAATAGCATATGTTTATCAAATCCAAACTGTACAGAAGGGAATAATAATAGGAATAATAACAGCTACCATTCCCTAAATGCTTACTCACATAGGATTCTATATGCTTCAAATATATCTAATAATCACAAGAAATAAAGGAAATGGGTGTTATCATTCTGCCCATTTTACAGATAAGGAAAGTAAGATACCAAGTATCAAGAGGCTGGTATTGCCCAAGATCTCATGACTTGTAAACGGTTCACTTGAGTGAACCTTGACTCCAGAGCCTCTGCTCTTAACCCTTATACGGTGCTACCTCCCAGGAAGGTAAAAAGTACTCCATCTTTTCTCTCATTCCCTAGTCCCACTTCCAGAAATTTTCTCTACGTATATATGTATATACACACACAAATTTACAGGGGTTCATATACCTCATATATTTTCTGAAATTTGGTTTCTTCATCCACTCCACAACATAGCTCAAATATTTTTCCGTATTAGTGAACAGAGAATTAAAATATTAATTGACAGTTGTATTAGTACTCCCTCATATGGATACCATAATTTATTTAACCAGCTTTGATGCTTTCAGCATTTTGATATCATAAATAGTACTGCAATGAATGCTGAGAAAATGATTTTGGGGGGCTGTTGTTAGTTGAGGTCGAGTCATTTGACTCAGGGCAACCCCATGTGTATAGAGTAGAACTGCTCCTTAGGGTTTTTAAAACTGTGATATTTCAAAAGCAGATCAGCAGGCCTATTTTCCAAGGTGCCTCTGGGTGGGTTTGAACTGACAACCTTTTGGCTGACAGTCTAGCACTTAACTGTTTGTGCCACCCAGGAGCTCCTTTATCAAGGTATTGTGGTTGTATTATTCAAAATTTCAAAAGGAGAAGAAAAATCCATCTATATTCCAAATTCCAACCTTAACATAACCACCATTACCCACTGAGTATATATATTTAGTCTTTAGATTTTTGTATTCCGTTTTTTCTGATTATAAAAAATATTAAAGCACTCAAATTTTAGAAATTAGGTATTAAGAAAATAAAAATTGTTTATACCCAGAAACAACCACAGTGTTATTACTATTTCAACTAAATAACCATTCATGTCTTAAAATACAGCCACAGTGAGATTTTGTTTATACTTGCACTAAACCAATAAAATAATTAATAAACCTATACTTCCCCCCACCCCCTAACAGATAAGGAAATGGAGACCTAGGAAGATTAAGTAATTGTCAGAGAGAGATCTTGACAACCAACAGAACCAGCCCAACATACTATATTACAGCTTCTACTCTACATACAGCCAGGCCATATCAAAACATATAGAGCTGATCCTAAGTAAAGAAAAAGCAGGCTGGCTTTTTTCTGTTCTTGCCTTGAAGTTGCCAGTGAGTGAAATAAGAGTTCTAAGCCATGGCTTCAAGTCCCTTCTTTAGTACACTGTCAAAGGGCACTTGATCTTTAAATATTTGACAATCAGTAATTTATAGGTACATATTACATAACTAAAGTTATTTAACAACAATCATTCACAATAAAGTATGATCATAACCAGTCATGTGTACAGTAAATCTTTTACTTCTAATCATTTTAGGGAATTTCAGGGATTAATGGTAGACATAGAGAAATAATGCAAATTTTCTCTTTATTCCAAAATTTCCTATTAAATATTTTCTATGTTTCGAGTTACATATTTACAATTTAATGAACTTTCATATCATCTCTCCCATTTTATCTGAAACTTTAGAGCACACTTCTAATAACTTTATATTATTTTAGAATTTATATTTCTTAAGAGACTTATTTATTTTATGCCTTAGGCACTACACCACCAGAGCTCCTATTTATTTTATAATAGTATTTAAACATAATAATGTCGTTACTTACTCTGGATTTTTGACTAAAAGGCTCTGGATAAAGTCTGTGGCCAGCTGTGAAACTGATGAAAAAGTTTCTTCTGAATAATCTACATTAACTTGAGAAATATTGAGGTATGTTTCCTGATTATCTTCTCCCACAAATGGGGACGTATGAGTTAACAACATATATGCTATTATACCAATATTCCTGAAAAACATTTGAAAAGAAGGGAGTTAAAAATATTAATCTTAAAATATTCATGCAAAGTTTAATCAATACTCTGCATATTCTTTGAGACTTATACAATTAAATTACAGATTTAAATTTCTGTTAAAAGTTCCTGTATTATTAAAACTAAAATACCTGTGTGACCTCAAAGTTTGCCTCACAGAAAGAGAATACAGTGAGGGGAATGCATGTGTGTGTTATACAATTATATGCAAAATATATAATGTACTAAATATATGTCATTATATGTACAATTTGCCCTTCACATTGATACCAGCTGTCAGGACAAAATACTGCTCAAAGAGCAACATTTCCTTAACAGTGTCTAATGGCACAGTAATGATCCATGAAATATAAACAGGTCTTCTGAGCAAAGAAACCAAAACCAAACCTGTTTCTACCAAGTCAATTCCAACTCATAGCGACCCTCAGAAAAAAACTAAAATAAATAAGTAAATAAATAAATAAACCAAACTCACTGCCATCGAGTCATTCCAACACATAGCAACCCCCACTGGGTTTCTGAGGCTCTAAATCTTTACAGAAGTAGATTGCCCCATCTTCCTTTTGCAGAGCAGCTGGTGGATTTGAACTGCTGAACTTCTGGTTAGCAGCCAAATGCCTTATCTACTACACCACCACCAGATCTCCCATAGTGACTGTGGGGTGTGCACATTAGGCAAACACAAAGTTGGGGCATGCAGATTTCTTCACTGCCCAACTTTTCAGAACTTTAAATACGTTCATGACAAGGTGCTTAGGGACCAGAAAATGATAATGCAGTATATGTTCCACCCACTTATTTACCTTAGGGGCCTTTTTCCACACTCTTCCACTTGGCCTATGGGTCAGTCCCCCAATCTAGTCCCAAGCAAACTTCCAGTATCAATTCTTGCTACAAAAACTCACAATTCCCTAGAGAGGGATTCTCACAAAGCCATACTTTTATGTTGATGTGACTTTATTCTTCTGCTTAGCAAATATGTTTCTAGTTCTTCTTGACCTAAATCAGATGTCTCCCATCTGGTGGAACCTAACAATGTCTTCTTGACTGCTACTTCCTCCGTGCTTATTAAGGATTCTACTTTCATCAGAGGGTTGCTACGAGTCAAAATCAATTTGACAGCACTTAACAACAGCAACAAGAGAACATCTAGCACTGTATTACAATGATTTTGTTTTTTTACCAGACTGTGTCTTCCTTGAGGGAAAGGATTTTTTTCTTTATTTCTATACCTTTAGCTCAGAGCAAAGGTATTACTTAAAAAGAATAGATAGAAAATGTTTTCCTGTGGAATAATAATGATACTTGAGTACAATCTTTTAAAGAAGTCTTTATTTAGATTTGATGTCAAAGAACTCCAAAATATACATCAACAAGCCAGTTGCCATCAAATGATGCTAATTCATGGCGACCCCATGGGTGTCAGAGTAGAACTGTGCTCCATAGGGTTTTCAACGGCTGATTTTTAGAAAGTAGATCGAGAAGCCTTTCCTCCCAAGTGCCTCTGGACCTTCAACGAAGCACAATGTACCACCCAAGGACTCCAGAATATACATTACCCAACTTTTAATAAAAGCATCTGGGTAACAAACAAAATCTTACCACATATCTGTTGCTGTGGTAATGGGATCATAGTTCAGGATTTCTGGAGCTGAAAGAGGGAATAAAACTCAGATTCAATATTGACAAATTTAAAAACATGAAAACTATATTAAATTAGAATTGGATTCAATTTTGGAAAGCCCAGTGGTATACGATCAGTAGTAATTTAGCACAGCATTAATTACCTTTGATTGAACATTTAAACATAGGTAGGTAATATGCATGACTGGATAGTTCAAAAGCATCCATAATATTCTTGGAGTAGCAGATAGATAGATACATAGTATTTTTTAAAATTAAAAAAAAAAAAGTAAACAATGCCATTAAGATTACTATCAGGAAAAACAATTGTTAGAGGCTAGAATCTTTTAAGAAGTTTAGGTTTATTACTTTATTACTAATTAGTTTATATCGTTTTATTAGACTGATTTAAGTTTATTTTCAGTATAGATAGAATTATGTGCATTCCCAATGACATGAGCAAACGATTCTTCCTGGAAATGCTTTAGGCTTTCAAGTAGATTAAATATCCCTCTTAAACTATCAAAAACCCAATTTCCTAAGAAATGAATTCCCCAATGTTTCATCTACCAAGAATAAAAATCCAAAATAAATTCTCTATACTTTCTAAACATTATCATACATTTCAAATCAGTAGAGTTTGAACTAGGATTTATGATGGAATAATAACTTTTTTGCTTTACAAAATGGTTTCATAATTTCTCCAAAGACAAATTTTTCCCTAAAGCCTAACAATTTTTTTTTAATAAAGCCTTTGAGTCATATATATTTTCAGCCTCCCATTACAACACTTAGAATCTTCCATACTTTTCTGAGCTATGTTATCTATAATTACAATGCTTTATTCTAGGACATTATAGCGTTTATTAGGATTCAGAAGTTAATAGTTTGCTTTGTTTTTCATTTTTGGGAAGTCAACTGCCTAGCTGAGTGGCACCTGTTCTGTTTAGCTACATCTTTTTAATGCTTGCATGGGATTATCAACCTGAGCAATAACAAAAAAGGTGAAAAGATTATTAACTATTAATTAATATACTTTAAATTTGTATGTTTCTTCATACAACTCAAAAATCTTTCATATACCTAATCACATCTGATTGTTGTTGTTGTTAAAGTGCCGTCGAGTCGTTTCTGACTCATAGCGACCCCATGCACAGCAGAACGAAACACTGCCCAATCCCGTGCTAGTCCCACAATCCCTGCTATACTTGAGCCCATCATCACAGCCACCGTGTCAATCCATCTCGTTGAAGGCCTCCCCCTCTTTCGTTGACCCTCCACCCTACCAAGCATGACATCCTTCTCCAAGGAATGGTCCCTTCTTACAACATGACCAAAATAGGTGAGACGAAGTCTGCCCATTCTTGCTTCCAAGGAGCATTCTGGCTGCACTTCCTCCAGGACAGATCTGTTAGTTCTTTTAGCAGTCCACGGTACTTTCAGCATTCTTCGCCAGCACCACAACTCAAAAGCATCAACTCTTCTTCGGTCTTCCTTATTCATTGTCCAGCTCTCACATGCATACGAGGCAATTGGAAATATCATGGCTTGTGTCAGGCGCACCTTAGTCCTCAAGGAGATATCCTTGCTCCTCAGCACTTGAAACAGTTCCTTCGCAGTTGACTTTCTCAATGCTACACGTCGCCTAATGTCCTGACTGCTGCTTCCGTTGGCATCGATTGCAGAACCAAGCAACATGAATTCTTTCACAACCTCAATCTTCTCTCCATTTATTGTGATTCTGCTCATTGGTCCAGTTGCGAAGATTTTTGTTTTCTTTATATTGAGATGTAATCCATACTGCAGACTGTACTCTTCAACCTTCATCAGCAGGTGCCTTAAGTCATCCTCATTTTCAGCAAGCAAAGTTGTATCATCTGCGTATCTCAGGTTTTTAATGATTCTTCCTCCAATCCTGATACAACGTTTTGCTTCATATAGTCCAGCTTCTCGAATTATGTGCTCAGCATATAGATTGAATAAGTGTGGAGAAAGGGTACAACCCTGACGCACTCCCTTCTCGACTTTAAACCATATAGTGTCCCCTTGTTCTGTTCGAACGACAGCCTCCTGGTCAAGGTACAGATTCCTCATGAGTACAATCAAGTGCT